GTTGCTGTCTCAGTGACATAAAGCCTACATCTACTTTAATTAATATAAACAGTGTAAAATTTCAAGCTTTTCTAAATCTATTTTAAAGCCGGCATGAATCTTGGGATCAAACTGCACTTTAAATCTGAAGACCAAAACAACAAATTTTCTTTGACAATTAATAAACAGATCTCTAAAAGCATGAAACATGATTGCAGCAAAGAAAAAAAAAATACTTGGACAGGGGCAAGATATTGAGTCAAAGATCTTGATAATAATACGGGTAAATTAGAAATAAACATCCCCACCCCCTTCCAGTAATCTGAGGTCATCAGCAACAGATCTGTAAACATATCTATTATCTTTATTCACTGACTGAGGAGACTTATTTTTAAGAGGTCTCCATGCTTGGTTATTGCAAACCGATTGTACCCTGGGCAACTAGAGGGCAATTAAATTTTATTGAGTGCAATAAAATTGAGAATGAAAATGGGGAATGTGTCAAAGAGACAACAACCGCAAAGAGCAGAAAACAGCCCAAGGCCACCAATGGGTCTTCAACACAGCGAGAAAATCCTGCACCTGGAGGCGGGATTCAGCTGGCTCCTAAACAAAAATGTGTACTAGTTCAATGAAAATGGACGTCACACTAAACTCCGAAACATACAAATAAACTATATTGTTAGAGAGGCTGACCTTTTGGATGCTTTAAATTTTTTAAAGGGTTAAAATTTTCCATTTTTTAAAAAGTGTTCCCAGCCATTAGATCTTAAATAAGGCGATCTAGACTTGATATCAATATTAAAAATATTTTATAGAATTGGGCAGTCTCTCAGACAAATTAAAAGGAAACTCGTCAGCAATGCCAGATGGACATGACTTTTTATATCTACACCCGTATCACCCGCCAGATTAACTACAACATTTTTGGATTTTTCTAAGTAATGCATGTAAAATAACAATCGGAACAAAATGTTTTAAATTTTCACCGGTTTTTAACTGGTGATATAAAAGGATTAACAATTAATTATAAAAGTCACAAACTATAAATTCTAGATTTTTCAAACTAGTACATGCAAAAAACAATTTGAAATGTAAAACCCCTAAATAGTATAAAATATCCCGTTTGGAGTACTGCCACTGACCTATAGCAGTAGATCAGTGGAAGATGTAATATCATTTTCAATTTTTTATATAAAATTTGCAAGCAAATGTTAATTTTGAATTAAAAAATCCCATAAATTTCCGGTGTTTACAATTAATCAAATGCATACAGTTATAGTGTAGGGCTGAAATATCAGTAAAACTGATGGCCTACCCTGCTGCAACATGATCTATAAACTGCATGATTACAAGTTTTGTTACCCTTTTAATATGCCAATCCTACAACCTGCATATACCAAATCTGTTCCACACCAATTTTTCTTTTTGAATATATTAAACCTATTTTTTTTCTTCCAGCATGCATTTTTGTATATAGATTAATCTGTATTGAACTTTTTTCAATGCAGAACAAGGATAATAAATTTGGAGGAAAACATATTTAAACATTTAAATAAAAAATTTGTAAGGGTTCCGCGGAACCCAGTGTCTCGCCTACTTTTTCTATTAATCGCAGGCTCAACAAAAATGAGGAAGTAAATCAATAAAAATATTCCTCTTGATACTATCTTTTGATTGTAAGAAGCTTCTGTCAAAGTTTGGTAAAAATCCAGGATAGTTTATGAATCTAATAAATGTTTAAAAACTTTAACTGCAGACTGAATGTAATGTTAACTGGAAGAAAACAAAATTTCCTTCTAGATACTAGCATTTGATCATAAACAAGCTTCTGTCCAAGTTTGGTACAAATCCAAAATAGTATAAGAAAGTTATTAAAATTTTAAAAACTTTAACCACAGAGTGAATATGTTGTTTCCTGGCAGAAAATCTAAGTCCATTTAAAAGTAAAATATGGAAAAAATAGATTTATTTTTTTACAAAATTCCTTCTAGATACTAGCTTTTGATCATAAACAAGCTTCTGTCCAAGTTTGGTACAAACCCAGGATAGTTTAAGAAAGTTATTAAAATTTTAAAAACTTTAACCACAGAGTGAATGTAATATTTCCCAGCAGAAAAACTAAGTCCATATATAAGTAAAATACGGAAAAAATGGAATTTTATTTTTACAAAATTTACTTCTGGATATTATCTAATGATCATAAACAAGCTTCTGTCCAAGTTTGGTACAAACCCAGGATAGTTTAAGAAAGTTATTAAAATTTTAAAAACTTTAACCACAGAGTGAATGTAATATTTCCCAGCAGAAAAACTAAGTCCATTTATAAGTTAAATACGGAAAAAATGAAATTTTATTTTTACAAAATTTACTTCTGGATACTATCTTATGATCATAAACAAGCTTCTGTCCAAGTTTGGTAGAAATCCAGGAGAGTTTAAGAAAGTTATTAAAATTTCAAAAACTTTAACCACAGAGTGAATATTTGTGGACGCCGCAGACGCCGACAGAATGTAGGATCGCTATGTCTCGCTTTTTCGACTAAAGTCGAGGGCTCAACAAAAATATAAAAATAAATAAATAAAGGAATTTCATTATACAATTAAATAGACCAGGTCCAAATTCAGACGGGGCATCTGGCAAGTGTCTCCCCTCCATTTTTACATAAGGAAATAAATAATTATTCTCAAGAGCGCCCATTCCCCTCCCCCCAACCCCCACCCCCACCACTGACATCAAATCCTGGATCCACACCTGTAGACTCTGAACATTCTCTGATTCTTCATCTATTTGTAAAATTATATTATCCAGAAGATCCATTAAAGGACATGTGAGTTTACCAAATTAACCAAATGATGAAAATTTAAAAAAATTCAAGTTATTTCTAATCTCGCCTAAAGACAAAAAAAAATTGAAAAGTTTACAACAAATTCATATTTTTTTTTATGACTCTCCCAAAGATAAAAGACTGGAGAGTTCCCCCAAATTCATATTATTTTCATTACTCCCTTATAAGACTAGAGAGTTTCCAAATTGATGTTATTTTTACGACTCCCCCAAAGACAAAAGACAGGAGAGATCAGCTATCATAGCAAGAGTAATTAAAATGCATCAAACCATACAAATAAGATAAACCTCTGATAATCTCTAGGGTTAGTTTTTTTGTCATTAGTTTCAATTGAAATTGCGTGATATTCTATCCCGACTGATTGAAATTACGATGAAATAGTTTGGCAGAATTCCCTGCCTTTTATGCTTCTGTAATGAAGAGAATCACGTTTACAGTTAAGATTTCTATTGATGGCATATTTGAAACTGTTACCAAGTTAGTTAATCTCTTTCATTTATCGCAATAAATATCGACAGTCAACCGAGGGTGACAATGCCAATTAAACCCGCCATTTAATTTTGACAAATATTCAAATTAAAAGGACACAGATACACTTCAAATTTCAATCATAAAACCATCTGTAATATATGGCTTTAAATCTTGCATATGCAAAATGAAGAAAAGTAAAAATTAGAAACAAACATTTTTATTTTCATCAACTTTTCGTTACTGGTTTATACCCTCAATTTAAGCTGAGGAGAGTGCACAGGCTAGTTTATACATGTCTAATCTTTTATTAAATTGTTATTGTTTCAAAAATGACATTGTTATCAATTTCTTTAAATGTTTATCAGCATTTTGAAATGAATAGCGTGAGATTAAAATTTGAACTGCAGCCCAATTTTCTTAATAAATCAGATCTAATTTATTGTTTCGAAAAGCTACAATTCACAATTGAAACATGATCAAATTTCAAGTTCAATATTAGTTAATGAAGCAATCAATTTATATTACTTTAAAAAAAATTGTAAATACATTGACCTCGTTCAATCTTCATAAGAGAGAAAATGGGAGGGATTTGTGTTTGTTACAAGTTTTTATTTTATATATATTAGAAATGAAGTTCGAAAAACCTTGGGAGGAATCAGAAAAAAAATTGTAGCTACCCGGTAGATTGATCTCATTAAATCTTACGAAGAAAATGAGGGGTTGTACGTAACTGATTCAGATTTTAATTTTTTATTTATCAAATAAGAAATGAGGAAACCTGGATTGAACCAGAGAGGGTGTTTGGGGAACGGGAGCTTTAGGGTTTAGGGATGCTGAACCCCACTTTTTTAAAATTTTATCTAAAATCACATAAAAATTGAATTGATCCTTTTTGGATAAAAACTCCTAGAATAAATCTTTGTCAGGATATCACAGAAGTTCACAAAAATTTTAACATCATATTGACAAAAGTGATAATTGTATGACTGTCAATAAGTCGAATGATTCTTCTGATCAAATCTAAAACATCTCTTGATTTAGTTTAAATGCTAGATTCAAAACTTTCTTACAAATGACAAGTATACTGTAATTCAACAAAGGAGTAGGTCCGGTAAAGGCTGATTTTGGCCTCAAAATTCAGGTTCATCTGATGAAAGATTTTGGACACTTTTTAAACACTTAAGTGTCTACTTCAGTCGATTTAGTTAGTTTATGTAAACGATTTTAACTGATGTAGTCATTAAAGACGCTCAAATTCGAGCTTAAATATGAAAAATCTATCAAATATGCCATAATATGTCACTTTTCAGATGGTTTTTGTCAAAAATGAAAGTGGCCGCATCCGTGTTCATTCTCAACCTTTATATATGTTATGTATTATCATCAAATACAACTTACATTTAAATATTAAGAATGAACACAAATGCGGCCACTTCCATTTCAGACGGAAACCGTCTAAAAATTAACCAAAATGCTAAAATTTGAAGATTTCAGTAATTTAGCATTACTTAATGATGCTAGTACCCGATACATGTGTATTGTATTGTCAAAAACAGCCCATATTTATGTAACAGGAGTATTCTTCTTTCCAATAAATAGCTAAAAATTTACATTTTAACAATTTTGTAAAACTGCTATATTTTGGGGCCAAAAAGGGGTCCTACTAGGCCTACTTCTTTAACATTTTATTTAAACATATTACCTTTTATTATTTTTTTTCTCAATCCCCACAGGATTCTAATACCATCAGACACAGTGACATCTACTGATGGTGTAACCATGTTTCTTGTGATCAAATGTGGAATTAATATCTGAAAAACATTAGATTAAAAGACTCAAATAGCCAGGTGGCACAAAATGTTTCTTAACCAAGGTCTATGATCTACAATGAACATTGAAAACATATATATGGAAATATAACATGTAAGAAATGGGTCAAATCTCAAACAGCAGGGTTGCAATATTTGTGACTAAATGTTGCTGAAAAATGACTAAATTCTGAAGTCTAGAGAAATGAGATAAAAATCCTCAAACACTTCCATGATAGCAGGTGCACAACTTCAACATATGTGCAACCTTCCTGTAACGTGTCAGAGATCTGGGTTCAAAATAATGAGTTGAACCCATTTTTCCCCGCATACCTGATATCACCAAACTATAAGCCGGTTTAGGATTTCATCCAACTCATCCAAAAATGGAAAACAATTCTTCAAACAACTCCATAATGGGAGGTGTAAATCTTCAAGATGTGTGCAATTTTAAATTATGTGAAGTTTCAAGGATCTGTGTTAAAAACTGCAGGAGAAGCTTTTTTAATAATACACAATTAGTACTATCTATTGAAAATTTTGCTGACCAAATGGCATGAAAGTAAGCAACTATATGCCACCCAAGTTTGTTCAGGGCTACTTTTCAGTATTGGTTGTGTTGTCTTTAGTTTTCTATGTTGTGTTTTGTATGCTGTTGTTTGTCTTTTGGTCATTTTTCATTCTTTTACCATGACATAGTCAGTTCCTTTTTGACTTTTTACCATGACATAGTCAGTTCCTTTTTGACTTATGAGTTTGACTATCCCTTTGGTATCTTCTGCCTTCTCTCTTTCAGTAATATGCAACTATAGAATAAACTGCTTTGCCGAGCGCAGCTGGATACGACTGCAGAGGTCCAACCCTGAACAGTTGGGCCAAAAATGGACACAATATTCAAGCTTGATACAGGTCTGAATTTGGATTGTAATCAAATATTTGATATATTATAGGTTTCTGAATAAATGTAGTCAAAGAACTTGAAATTGGTTATATGATTTGAATTTATATTCAATTGAAGATTTCTTGCTTTTGGGGCAATACACTGTGCTGTTGCGCAATACTAAGTAAATCTGTTTTCAGACTATATATATACAAAGAATTAGCAAAATAAATTGTGACCCCCAATTTTTCTTTGGAAAATTTTTTTGTGGTCGTATAAAAATAGAAAAAACTATATGTTTTCTATGTTGTGTTTTGTATACTGTTGTTTGTCTGTTGGTCATTTTCTTTTTTTAGCCATGGCATTGTCAGTTTATTTTGGACTTACGAGTTTGAATGTCCCTTTAGTATCTTTTGCCTCTCTTATTCATAACAGCTAACAATTTCATGTGGTATCAAAATACAAAATTTCTAAAGGGTAAAATTACCTTGCACTGACTACATTTGCTTTATGTTTTAGAATTTATATGTACTAATGCTTTATGAATTTGGCAATGTTACTTAAATTGCCCCATGGTATTTTGTCTTTCTTCAACTTATGGTTTTATATTCAACATTGTCCCCTTAGAATCTACTTCTGTTCCCTTGGAATCTACTTCAAAAAATTATTTTGTACTGCCTTTTTTTGGTTTCACCTATTTTTTCAAGGATATGTACAAAGAACTTTTATTTTAAATTTTCTATAAAAATACATAAGATCTTCTTAATCATATATTTCATTATTTAGTTTTTAGATCCAAATTTCAAGATGGCTGTAGGAGACAGTTTTGAAAAAATCTTGAATTTGTCTTTGTCTCAATTTGGTCTGGAGGGGAGAGTTGTCTCATTGGCAATCATACCACATCTTTTTATTTTCATATCTAGTATTAGACTTGTCTATATGTTTGTTCCAAGTCAGAAACATTGCCAGTGGTCTTTTTTTCAGCTTGAAACATTGACCTCTATAATTATTTTTTTTCTATGTTTTATGTTGTTAGGTTGCTGTACACATGATTTATACCCCACATATATATCTTTCTTTTATACACATTGATAGATTTAAAGCTTTTAAAATAATTTAGCACTTTATTGGTAACCTCCAATTGTCCTTTACAAAAACGTCAACAATTCTTTGGTGACATACCGTCTGATTAAGGTCACCCTGTCCAACTACTGATGGACATCTGGCCACCTCTGGGCTAATTTTATTCAATGGTCAGTTTAGACTGACCCCTGTAATTACACATTGTGTACTAAAGTTAAACGAGACTGAGGCTGTAATTTGAATTAAACGTAATCGTCACTTATAACTACACATACTGTTCGCTATTCATATATGCACTTGCCCTGACCTTAATTCGTTTGACGTGCATTTCATTTTTCTCGTATTTGAAGGGAAGTAATCAGCGCTGACAGAAGTAAATTTGTAGCAATCATTTTAAAATGAAATGTTTGTTGGCTAATTATATATCTATGGGAAATAGAATGTCATTTTAGTCACATTTAACCCATACATGTCCGTCATAAATTCTGCAGGTCAATTCTAAAAATTCAGCAATGAACTTTCTCAGTTTTCAAATTTCTGAAGGGAGAAATAATTACAATTAACTTTACTAAAAACTGTGAGATAAAATATCCAAGCAAGAAGAGGGGGGATAAATTTAATTTCATGGCAAATCATACCTCACACAGGATCCTCAGGGTCATTAAGACCCCCTTTTATAGCTTTAAAGATTTGACAGTTATGAGTGATAATTTTATAAAAAAAAATGATAAAGCTATAATCATTTTAACTGTCCATTTCTTTAAAAATTCATTTAGGATTTCTCATGTAATTACGTTGGAATTCTATTCTTGGATTTGGGACTTTGAAAGGCATTATTAAATATTCAGCTTACTGGTAAAGACACTGTTTCTTAAATAAAATGCTCACATTTAAATTGTTTTGAAAAAAAAAATGAATTCCTCCTAGCTTAAAATGCTTTTCATTTTAAATTAGTAAAATAGTGTAGAATATTCAAAAAAAAATTGCTTGCAAAAATCAAACAATTTCACACTGACATGTACTTCATAGAAACGAGTGGTGGAATTTGATCCATCGAATTATCTTTCACAGAAAACGAAAAATACCCTTTAAACATTTAAAAATTTGAATTACTAATTATTTAACCAACAATACACTACAACAAATTGTGATAATAAACTAGAGATATTCAAATATTAACTAAAACTTTTGACTCTGCTTAAGGCTGAAAGTTTTGACTTTGCATACAAACTTTTGTAATTGGCGGCGACTGTAAACATGACGATTTTTCCTTCAATAAGAAGCAACAAATGCTATACAGAATTTTTCCCACATTCGAGTTTCCTGTGAAAGTTGCCTGGAGTAACCATACACCTGTCACTTTCAATACCTTATAATTACCTTAAATCAAGGTCAAACAAGGTCAACGACAGCTCATCATCTGTTAAATCTGAAATAGTAAAAGTATTAGGTTATCTAAGAATTTTGCTTTCAATTTAAAAAATGTACTTTTAATAAACTTTCCATTTAAACAAAATTGAACACAATTAACATACAGGCTTTACATACTCTTAAATGGTCATATGAGAAGTATATATTGAAACTTGAGTTGTAATTTTTTTTAACTTCAAAATTTAAAACTCATACCTGTTAAAAAAGTGAGACAAACATATCCCCTTAAAATGAACCCTCTCCAAAACAAATCAACAATTCTACATTGGCTAGAGGTATAGGGGGAGGGTTGAGATCTCACAAAACATGTTTAACCCTGCCGCATTTTTGCGCCTGTCCCAAGTCAGGAGCCTCTGGCCTTTGTTAGTCTTGTATGTTTTTTTAATTTTAGTTCATTTATATGTTTTTGAGTTTAGTGTGACGTCCATTTTCACTGAACTAGTACACAATTTTATTTAGGAGCCGGCTGAGGACCACCTCCGGGTGTGGGAATTTCTCGCTGCGTTGAAGATCCATTGGTGGCCTTCGGTTGTTGTCTGCTCTTTGGTCGGGTTGTTGTCTCTTTGACATATTCCCCATTTCCATTCTCAATTTTAAAACCACTAAAATATACTTATAATATCAACAAGTATTCCATAATTTCTTGATTAATATATATCAGATAAACTCAAGAGTCAAGAATTGCAAAAGTGAAAGCTGATGACAATTTTCTAAGTTTAACCATCTAAAAATCTGCAAAAATGCCCCAATCTCATTCCTTATCTCACCTTTAAACTCTTAAAAATTCCTTCAAACTTTATAAAAACCAACCAAAAACAACAGAATTCTTCCTCCTACCAATATTTGTGGGGAAATATGGTTAAAATTCTTTAAAAAAAAATATAACTTCTAAAATTGACAGAGTCAGATATTGGACATGGTCACAATTTCAGTTACACTAACAAGCATTTCTTCCAAATTAAATAAAATCTACATAACAGTCTTTCCTTTCTTTAATACAACATTTTTGTAGGACTGAAGGATGAGAATGTTAAAGTGAATTCGTTGGCCTTAAATAATCTGGTAAAATAAAGTTTAAAAATCTGAAGGAACTGCATATTGTGTGTACTTAGTTCATGGGTTATTTATTACCTCTTTGGTCATGTTGGTAGGGCATGTGTAAATAAAATGATACTCGTTCTCAAATATCAAGAAAGTGTGGAATTCTATCATTATAAATGTCCATGTTTACAATTTCTGAAATTTATATACATTCAAATTAAATTTATGAATGGATAAATCTATGAATGAATAAAAAGTGAGTTTATCTATTGTCTGAAACTAGAGAAACTGCACAGATTAAATTCACCGGGGATTTAAATAAAAACAATTATAAATGCAGAATAAATGTGATTTCATGTAAAAAATTTATCCTTTCTATGGTAAAATTTCATCTCACAACAGATTTTGAATAATCTTTTAGTGTTCCTCAGTGTAGACGAAACCAATATCTATGAAATGAAACTTCAAGCATGTACATACTCACGTAGGCCATTGGAATATATTTGCTTACATGTAACATTGTAAATTTCATCTAAAGAACCTTGTGGGGGGCAGGGCTAATGTTTACTGCAATTTCAGTAAAGAATCATTTTATTAGGGTTAATTATAAATACATTTGTTTTGTAATTTTGGAATTTAAAAGTAAATTTTCTCTAGTGGTATTAAAAACTCCCATTAAAATATTTGCAGACCAGCAATCTGGATGGACTTTGCAAATGACACCAAATCATATTTCAAACAGCTGATGAAATTAAATACAACTAACATAGAGTAATATAAAGCCTTGAGCCTCACCAGAGTTACATCCACTCAAATAGCTAAAGAAACAACTCCCTTTGGTTACAAATATATATATGGTCATAGTGATACAAATGTGCAATGTTTGCTATGTTAAAGTGGAATTAGATGTGAGATTTTTTCTGGCTGACAGTAGTAGAAAGCATGTTTTGACTTTGCCTTCCAAATTATGCACCATTTTCTATTTCCTTTTTTAGGTTAAAGGTCATTCTGATGGCAGTTGCACTGTGCAGGTTTCTTATTGTGTGTTTTGGTTTTATGACATATGGTCATGATACTGGAAAAGAAGGGGGGAGGTTGTACACATAATAAACTTATAAACCAAAAGTGAACCAATGCCTGGTGAATCTGTAGAGCGGTAGAATCCCATATTAAACTTGTCTAATCCAATAAACATTTTGTGCCTGTACAAAGTCAGACTATCTGGCCCATGTGTAGTTAGTTGTTGTTTTTCTTTGTTAGTAAAGTCTGTTTTTTGAAGGAACCAAGTGTCTGGGGTTGATGTGGTATGGTAGTATGTTTTTTGGAGGAATCAGGTTTTGTTGGTTGATGTGGTATGGTGGTTTGTTCTTTGGAGGAACCAAGTGTTTGATGGTTGATGTGGTATGGTGGTATGGTAGTATGTTCTTGGGAGGAACCAAGTTTTGGTGGTTGATGTGGTATGGTGGTATGTTTTTTGGAGGAACCAAGTGTCATGGGTTGATGTGGTATAATGGTATGTTTTTTGGAGGAATCAGGTTTTGGTGGTTGATGTGGTATGGTGGTATGTTTTTTGGAGGAACCAAGTGTTGGTGGTTGATGTGGAATGGTGGTATGTTTTTTGGAGAAATCAGGTTTTGGTGGTTGATGAGGTATAATGGTATGTTTTTTGGAGGAATCAGGTTTTGGTGGTTGATGTGGTATAATGGTATGTTTTTGGAGGAACCAAGTGTCATGGGTTGATGTGGTATAATGGTATGTTTTTTGGAGGAATCAGGTTTTGGTGGTTGATGTGGTATGGTGGTATGTTTTTTGGAGGAATCAGGTTTTGGTGGTTGATGTGGTATGGTGGCATGTTTTTCGGAGGAATCAGGTTTTGGTGGTTGATGTGGTATGGTGGTATGTTTTTTGGAGGAACCAAGTGTCATGGGTTGATGTGGTATAATGGTATGTTTTTTGGAGGAATCAGGTTTTGGTGGTTGATGTGGTATAATGGTATGTTTTTGGAGGAACCAAGTGTTGGTGGTTGATGTGGTATAATGGTATGTTTTTTGGAGGAATCAGGTTTTGGTGGTTGATGTGGTATGGTGGTATGTTTTTTGGAGGAATCAGGTTTTGGTGGTTGATGTGGTATGGTGGTATGTTTTTTGGAGGAATCAGGTTTTGGTGGTTGATGTGGTATGGTGGTATGTTTTTTGGAGGAATCAGGTTTTGGTGGTTGATGTGGTATGGTGGTATGTTTTTTGGAGAAACCAAGTGTCATGGGTTGATGTGGTATAATGGTATGTTTTTTGGAGGAATCAGGTTTTGGTGGTTGATGTGGTATGGTGGTATGTTTTTTGGAGGAACCAAGTGTTGGTGGTTGATGTGGAATGGTGGTATGTTTTTTGGAGAAATCAGGTTTTGGTGGTTGATGTGGTATGGTGGTATGTTTTTTGGAGGAATCAGGTTTTGGTGGTTGATGAGGTATGGTGGTTTGTTCTTTGGAGGAATCAGGTTTTGGTGGTTGATGTGGTATGGTGGTTTGTTCTTTGGAGGAACCAAATGTTGGTGGTTGATGTGGAATGGTTGTATGTTTTTTGGAGAAAACAGGTTTTGGTGGTTGATGTGGTATGGTGGTATGTTTTTTGGAGAAATCAGGTTTTGGTGGTTGATGTGGTATGGTGGTATGGTTTTTGGAGGAATCAAGTTTTGGTGGTTGATGTGGTATAATGGTATGTTTTTTGGAGGAACCAAGTGTTGGTGGTTGATGTGGTATAATGGTATGTTTTTTGGAGGAATCAGGTTTTGGTGGTTGATGTGGTATGTTTTTTGGAGGAACCAAGTGTTGGTGGTTGATGTGGTATGGTGGTATGTTTTTGGGAGGAATCAGGTTTTGGTGGTTGATGTGGTATGGTGGCATGCTTTTTGGAGGAATCAGGTTTTGGTGGTTGATGTGGTATGGTGGTATGTTTTTTGGAGGAACCAAGTGTCATGGGTTGATGTGGTATAATGGTATGTTTTTTGGAGGAATCAGGTTTTGGTGGTTGATGTGGTATGGTGGTATGTTTTTTGGAGGAACCAAGTGTTGGTGATTGATGTGGTATGGTGGTATGTTTTTTGGAGAAATCAGGTTTTGGTGGTTGTTTTTTGGAGAAATCAGGTTTTGGTGGTTGATGTGGTATGGTGGTATGTTTTTTGGAGGAATCAGGTTTTGGTGGTTGATGTGGTATGGTGGTATGTTTTTTTGGAGGAATCAGGTTTTGGTGGTTGATGTGGTATAATGGTATGTTTTTTGGAGGAACCAAGTGTTGGTGGTTGATGTGGTATAATGGTATGTTTTTTGGAGGAATCAGGTTTTGGTGGTTGATGTGGTATGGTGGTATGTTTTTTGGAGAAATCAGGTTTTGGTGGTTGATGTGGTATGGTGGTATGTTTTTTGGAGAAATCAGGTTTTGGTGGTTGATGTGGTATGGTGGTATGTTTTTTGGAGAAATCAGGTTTTGGTGGTTGATGTGGTATGGTGGTATGTTTTTTGGAGGAATCAGGTTTTGGTGGTTGATGTGGTATGGTGGTATGTTTTTTAGAGAATTCAGGTTTTGGTGGTTGATGTGGTATGGTGGTATGTTTTTTGGAGGAACCAAGTGTTGGTGGTTGATGTGGTATGGTGGTATGTTTTTTGGAGGAACCAAGTGTCATGGGTTGATGTGGTATGGTGGTATGTTTTTTGGAGGAACCAAGTGTCATGGGTTGATGTGGTATTGTGGTATGTTTTTTGGAGGAACCAAGTGTCATGGGTTGATGTGGTATGGTAGTATGCTTTTTGGAGGAACCAAGTGTCATGGGTTGATGTGGTATGGTGGTAGGTTTTTTGGAGGAACCAAGTGTCATGGGTTGATGTGGAATGGTAGTATGCTTTTTGGAGGAACCAAGTGTCATGGGTTGATGTGGTATGGTGGTAGGTTCTTTGGAGGAACCAAG